ATATTTCTTTGAATTAAATTTTTCTGAAAATACATACTCCCTAATGAATTCATATATGTCGGCAACTCATTGATTACACTTAATGAACAACGTGTCATCAGCCTAACATCAATATTACAATCCTTTTAATCAATATAAATAACAAAATGCAATTATTATGAACTGAATGTTGAAATGAAACATTTAATTTCTTTAATAATGGTTTTTAATTACCTGTAATCGCTGCTAAATATTGCGGCCACCACTTGATGCGCGATTTGTTCATCTTTCTTATTTCTTCTTTTACGGACTGAAATTTTTAACAAAATTAATACACACACACACGTATACACACATATATAATATAATATATATAATATATATAATACAATTATATATAATAAAATATACTATATTATATATTTATATTTATATATATATTATAATATAATATATATAATACAATATAATATAATATATATATATATATATAATACAATAATATAATAATACAATAATCAAATAATACCAATCAGATCAAATTATAGAGAATGAAAACTATTCATTAAATTCTAATGAACGATAAATATATTTATTGCGATATTTACAGAGATAGCGATGAAACACGACGATGCCACCAGAAAGAATCACGGTTTTGCGTTGGCGTTCTTCGTACCCCTTTCTAAAGCATTATAAACAGAATGGAAATTTAATCATGATGTACTACATTTTATATGTCGGTTTATCAGTGTCCCTGTTATCACAATCGAATCTTATGCACACCCCCACTTTGCGACTAGTGAAATCCATTGATGTTTTCAAAGCACGGGAATAAAAAGTAAGAAAGCTGCGCTTTAAAAGCGAGAAAGAGAGAATTTGAGAAGGCTACACGCTTGAGCACATGCTTGAAGTATTTATGACTATTTCGTCAGTTATTTACTTTTTCTTTTTTAAACAGGAGATGCAATCCAATGTGCTACTCAAAATTTAAACATTGTTGGATATTATTAATTGAACGATTTATTTAAGAATGAAGATTTCGAAAAATCTGACGAAAAACTTAAGTATTGAATATATAGTAATTGTTACATAAACAATTTCTTTTATATAAATTATAAATTACTATATATTCGTGATAAAATAAATTTTTTTTATAAATATATTGGTCATTATCACCGCTAAGGATTTTTCTTTTTTTTAAAACGCGAATAAAATAACTGTACTTTTTTTTTTATTAACAGTATTAAAATAAAGGCATGGTTAAAAAATACCAGAGTGAAATGAAATGTTAAAATACACAGTGCTCTCCTTTAAGCATCGACCGTTTCGACGTTCTACTGACTCTCATTGCATTGATGAAAATACACACCGTGTACACAGCATTTTGAAACTATGAAATTTTAATAATATCACTTCTGATAAGATGAGAAGTTGCCGTTTATTTATAAACATAAATAGCCTATTTATAGATATAAAATAATAGTCTATATAACTAAAAACATGATGTAATATTTTTTTGATATTATAAAGAAACAAAGATATTCAAGAATATAGTAACATAGTTATAATCTTGAAATCACAATTACGATTGTTAAATAGAGGCATTAAGATTACAAACTGATGAGACATCGAGATTTAAAGAAGATTGATGACAAAT